GGGCACGAGATCAGACCATTGAATGTCCTATTGACAAAGACCAAGTCGTTCATTTCCGTATTTAACTCAACACACAGCGATACCCGGTCGTGTCAGAATTGTCACGGGTAACGAAGCAATCGCGAGAATCAATGGGCCAAGTTTCCGCAGAGACCTAAACACGTGGCTCGGGTCTCCTCTCGGATCTAATTTGCGGTGTTGCTCCAGCCACGTCGCGAGTATATTGTCCGGCCAGCGACGCGTTCGAATGTTATTCACCGCCACGGCGTGCACGATGGCCGCCACGATGGCGTTAATGCAAATGTGCATTAACCCAGTTAGGCCCTATTTACGCTAACTGGCCACTCGTCCTCCGGTGTTCGAATGTCATTCAGCACCCTCGAATTCGACTAAGGACGTTACCTCGCGCGTTAATGGCCGCCCTCTCGAGCCGCGGCCAAGTCAAAACGCCATTCAACGGCCTTCGAGCGAACCTGATCGTGCACATTCGTGGATTTTACAAATGTTATACAATGATATACAAGGTGTTTCGTAACTTGCGGGACCCACTTCGGGAGCTGATTGTAACGCTTGAAACTAATGAAAGAAAGTCATATAAATATGAGATATATTGAAGTCATATTATATGAGATATAATGAATTTTCTGTTTTAATTACTTTTACGAAAGATGCTCGAAATGACCAGCTTGCATTTGAAGACAAGCCTGCACGCGTCTTGTCATTCATCNTCGAATTTGTCGGAAGCCTTGCTCTATTCTATTTCGTAGTATTTCAGCATGTTCAATCGATGTTGCGTGTACAATAGATTTCAAATGTCCCCACGAATGAAAATCTAATGGATTCAAATCCGGAGAACGAGCAGGCCATGCAATACGACCTCCACGACCAATCCATTTATTTGCAAAGTGTTGATTTAAAAATTGCCTAGCCACTCGGCTAAAATACGGCGGAGCTCCATCATGCATAAACCGCATACGAATAATTTAATATCGACTGGAACTTCCTCTAATATTTCGTGTAAACGCGTGCTCAAAAAATCAACGTACTTTGTGTCTGTTAGTTTCCCATCAAGAAAAAAAGGTCCAATTAAAAATTTATCAATTATTTCTGCCCATACGTTTAAACTAAACTGGTGTTGATGTCTTGAATGTGCAAATAACATGTGGGTTTTCTTCATCCCTATTATGATTGTTATGAAAATTGAATATACCATCCCTAGTAAAACTAGCTTACTAGAGTTTACTCTGTTTATAAAATTCATTATATCTCATAAACGAAGACAGATAGGACATATATTTATATGACATTTTTTTCATTATTTTTAGGCGTACAATCAGCTTCCGAAGTGGGTCCCACAAGTTACGAAACAGTCTGTATAATATATGAATAATATATATTATTGTATGTTATAATATATATTATTGTGCGTTGCGCATATTGAAATTTCATTTGTTAGTTTCATTATTGTCAGATTAGAGGGTCGTGTTACTGAATTTTTCAAACATTTGAAAGTGTATAAAACATTTATACGAAGAACATAAGTAATGATAACAAGGTATATATTATTGCGCGTTGCGCATAAAATTAAAATTTCATTTGTCGTTAGTTTCGTCATCATCAGTAGTTAGATTAGATAGTTGTGTTTCATATTATTTTTACTGAATTTTCAAAATGTTTTATATATTTGAAAATATATAAAATATTTATCTAAAGAGCATAAGTAATGATAACAAGATATATATTATTGTGGATTGCGTATAAAATTAAAATTTCATTTGTCGTTAGTTTCGTTATCACCAGATTAGTTAGATTAAATAGTTGTTGTGTTTCATATTATTTTTACTGAATTTTCAAAATGTTTTATACATATACAGTGAAGAGCGCAAGTAATAATAATAAGGTTGAAAAACTGTCAGTGTGATTTCTCAAAAAAATTAGTTTTGAGTTCGTGATTTCATACCAAATACATTCTTCTCGAGATTTGTCTTGGAAAACAATGGAAAATTGTTTTCACGAGTAGATCGAAGTTTTTCTTTTCACAACAATTTCTCTTCTCGTCATTTTCAATTTTGTCAATCAACTTTGAACATTAGAATTAAATGACGAAATGTTAGGATTTCTTGAATTTCAATCCTAATATTCATAGTTCAATAAAATGGCGGGAAAAGATCAGTAAATTCTGCGAAGGGGAGGCTTCAATCTTCGAAATTGCGGTGAATTTAATTACAAAAGAAAATTTCAATGTAGAAAGGTTTGAATTTTTATAATTGCCAAAAAGAAAAGCATTCCCATTTTTTCACTCGTTACAAGATGTGAAATCATCTTTATAAAAAAACAAATTCAAAGCTGTCAAATTAGAGGTTGTACGATTCAAAATTCAACCATAACCTTTTTTAAGGGAAGCATTCTCATTCTTCGACTCATTACATGACGTAAAATCGTCTTTGTAAAAGACAAATTCAAAACTTTCAAATTAGATGTCACCTGGCTCAAAATTCAACCATAACCTCCTAGGGAAAACATTTCCATTGATTGACGTAAAATCATTTTCGTTGAAAAAACTCAAAACTATCAAATTAGAGGTTATATGGTTCAAAACTGAACCTAACCTTGTCCTAACGAACCCAAAGACGAACCTAACCTCTAACTTATCTTATTTTACAAAGTTACAACAGTCGAAACTATCGACTAATGTTTCATCGTTATTAAATAACGGTCACTGTTAGGATTTCTCGAATTTCTGTCGTTCAATTCTAATTCTACTCACTGCTACTAACAAAACGCTGAGAGGAAATCGTATAGCAAGTAAAAGTTCGTTATAAAAGGAAGACCTGAACCTTCGAAACGATGATGGACCTAAAGAAAATTTTTCGTCATCTTCGGAAAGAACGAAAATATATACTTCAAGAGGATCTCTTTTTTTTTTTTTTTCTTTTAATCAACTTATATCAATTTGAATTATCGACAAATTTTCACTGCACAGCGCGAACAACTCTCGTTTACCAGAGAGTCTTCTTTCTTGCTCGGGTAATGTTTATCGGTCGTTGATTAAATCTTCGTATGTCGATCGGCTGCTGGTTAGACAGATTAACTTCAGGAATCTCCTTTAAAGCGTATAGAGACGGTCTTGACGTTGTGTTGCGTTAATCGCGTGTTGCGAGGCGAATCGCGTTTCAAAGTGTTTATAAGTGACGGGCGCGAGCTTAGAACGCGCGCTGATGGAGGAGGATTCGACGTTGTCGGAGCCAGATGCTACGCTAAATTGATTTGGCTGCCAAGTCTGGATCGATTTGAATTTCAAATTTGAACGTCTAATTTGGCAAAAGCCGTCAGATCGTTCAGCCTGTCGGCTTTCACTCGATTATGAGCGTATATGCAGAGGCGAAGCTGATTGAAAAGCAGAAGCTGCCGAGGACGTTGTGCAAGTTCGAAAGCATAACCAAATTTATTTATTTTTTTTTCTTCTTTTTCTTTTCATCCCTCTTCGCGGAATTTTCACCCAGCCAGGGAAATTGTTAGTATCGTTTGAACAACATAGCGCTGCTAGCGTTGTTCTGATGATTATGAATTTGTATTCGAGAGCGCAAATATGGTCACTGGTCAGATTATAAATATTTTTAAATAACGAATATCGTTGACAAAATATTTTAAATAATTAAATATGATAAAACGAGAATGATTAGAACAATTCATAATTAACACTGGTGGATCGCCGTTTCTGTTTCTATAAATATTTTTAAATAATTAAAACGACATGGATATCATTAATTTAAAATAATTAGACGATATTATCACGTAAAAGTAATTAAAATGGGATGCATATATCGTTTACAAAGAATTTAAAATAATTAGATGATGTTATACTTTCAGTGTCTTTTATTGCAACACAATATATCATAGAAATTTCATATTTTATCCCATAGACAAACGTGTGACAGTCAACACGTTGAAGTATCGAATAAATAAAAATAAAAGTTATTTTTATCTCTATCGTTACGTTTCTTTCAATTTCTTTACATTCTCGAGTGAGTTTACGTTCTCAACATATAATATATTATCAAGGTTCGTCGAATTAGATTCTTAGATGTTCAATGCCGTGCTTTAATTAGCTTTTCCATTATCCGCAGAGTCAATCTTTGTTCCAACTGTCCGTCAGCTTCGAACGAGATTTGACGAAAAACTATTTTCATAAATATTTCCAATAAATATTTCTAAGTAAACATCTATCGTTCATGATACGATATTTCGTCTTAGAAGCATGAACGAGCACCATGCTTTCGTTCAATTAGCCTTCGTTCATTAGCAGAGTCAATCTTCCTTCCAACTGTCCATCATCTTCGAACGAATCTTGCAGAATAAATCGACGACCGATGAATATTTGCGAGTAAACATCTGTCGATTACGAAACGGCACATTTGGTCTTGAAATTTTCCACATGGAAACGCGATCAAATGGATATTTAATGCTATGCTTAATTATATAAGCCCTCCACTGTTTTATTCGCAGAGCGAATCTATGCTCCAATTACAAAACCAATCCCTCGAACAGTGATTCGTGAACCAACGATCGATGAATATTTACAGGTAAAGAGATCCAGACGTTCGACACAGAATCCGTGTTTGATTTGGGGAGACAAGCTTTGTCCGAACGTATGCTTAATTAGCCATTATTCGAATAGGTGAAAGTGCATTGCTCGATAAGGGAGCAGAATGGCCGGATGTCGTTCGGTTGACGCGATATGCCGCAGTTAATTACCGACATCGATATTACCTTGTGTTCCCTTGCTGGCTTTACGGCGATACGGACAGCGATTGGTTAGTGTAACGTTATCATAACTCGCGCGCTTATTGGATCCGATTACAGACCGATCTACAATAACGATCGGTGACGTACAGAATTTCCCCCGTCGTTGATTAATATCCGGGGGACAGTCGAACGAAATCACTCTGATCGAGTTTGTCTAATCGATACGATCAACGTGTCGATCAATTTCTGACAATCGGACGTGTACTGATATCGTTCGTTAAAACGATCTTCACGGTTCACCGATCGAACGAATCGTTGGTCAATGTTTTGGAAATTATTATGCCACTTTTGTCGCGCAGCCGCTCATTAACAGACTGCAGATTTTTGTGCATATAAAATATATTTTTATTATATACTTTATTTAATTATATTAATTTAAAATCATATATATATATATATATATATATATATATATATATATATATAATAAAGTTTTATTATAGTTTTAATAAAAGTTTCAATAAAAATATATTTTAGTAACAGTTAAAAATTAATAATATTATTAATAGTTTAAAATAATAAAAATGAATTTTTTTTAAAATAAATAATCTATTTTGTACCTTTTGTATTTTTTTAAAAATAAAAAATCTATTTTGTACCCTTCGTATTAGGGTTAATCAATTAATTTTAATAATTTTAATTATCTCAAAAGTAAATGATCTAAATATATATATATAAATATATATATATATATATATATATATATATATATATATATATATTGTTTTCTGTAAAATAAAAGAAATAAATATATATTTAGAAATTAAATGTTTGTCGCATTTATTAACATCTAGTTTCTTTAAAAATAAATTTAATTTAATCGTCTGTAGGATATTTAATCATAAATTTACGATTAAAGATCATTGGAAAAGTTTAAAAATAACGTTGACTAATCTTTTTAATCAGCCAACACCGGTTTCCAAGCAGACTCACAATCAGTAGGAAATACGTTTTTCACGTTGAAAGGAATTCTTATTTTAGAAAAGCCACCGAAATTCATTCGGTGTAATTTCCAAACGAGTTTGGGAATTAAGTCAGCGAGTGCTGCTTAATCCTGCAAGTTGCTCGAAAAGTGGGTGAAGTGGCGGGGGACGTATAAAATGCAACGGCCGCGAAAAGAATTCAATAGACTCGGAAAAGTTGCGAGAGCGTTTTCATCACGAGAAGACCGGAAGTTCTTCTGGTATCGCGACACCAGAGAGGGGGGCCTATCTTAAAGCTGCGGGTTTCTTTAGCGGTGGGAAGTTTTCTTCGCCATCAACTTTCTGGCGAAACTTCGCCAGACGAGTATACCCTCGGCCACACGAGATTAGCGTAAATAATCACACGGTGTTTTCTTATCTTTCTCCGCAGGAAAGTGATCCAGCTGTCGATCATCGAGGAGGATTCTTACGAGAAGGACGCGTTGTTTTACGTCGAGCTTGGTGAACCGCAGCTACAAGGAGGTGAGTGTTGTATCTATGTTGTAATTTGTATGAAATATACCTGACAGTAAAATAATATTAATAAAATAAATATTACAGTAGATCAATATCAATGTTAATATTAATACTTAACATGTCAATGTTAATATTAATATTTAATATTGGATATATTTGTGAAAAATATATCTAGTAATGAATAATAATAATAGTAAAATAAAGTATTGATATTGTAGTAAATCAATATTAATGTATATCAATATTAATGTTAGGTATAGTGAAAAATATACCTAATAATAAATAATAATAATAGAAAAATAAAACATTGATATTGTAGTAGATTAATATCAATATTGATATAATATTTAATATTTAATGTTAGGTATAGTTGTGAAAAATATACCTAATAATAAATAATAATAATAGTAAAATAAAGCATTGATATTGTAGTAGATTCATATCAATACTGATATTAATGTTTAATATTTAATGTTAGGTATATTTGTGAAAAATATACCTAATAATAAATAATAATAATAATAGTAAAATAAAGCATTAATACTGTAGTAGATTCATGTCAATATTAATGTTTAATATTTAATGTTAGGTATAGTTTGAAAAATATACCTAATAATAAATAATAATAATATTAAAATAAAGCATTGATATTGTAGTAGATTCATATCAATACTGATATTAATGTTTAATATTTAACGTTAAGTATATTTGTGAAAAATATATCTAATAATAAATAAAATAATAATAACGAATAAAATGTAAAAATAGTAATGGCCAGACTGCAGAATTTTATGCGAATTCGTACTTTTTTAAGAACGTAATTAAAAAAGTAGAACCTCGGTGGAAAATTATTTTACATACTAAATGTATGTCACGGAAATCAATACACGGTATTTTATATATTTCGGTATTTTATATATCTTTCCACATTACGGTGCAATTTTCTACTATAAACGTATGAGTATCCGCAGTCTGGCAACGAATGTATAAAGAGACGAATTTTGTAAGAATTTCTGTAAGGACGACGAGAAGGCGACCATTTTTCTTCCACGATCGAGAGAGACATTCTTCGACATGTTCGCTGCGGCTATTCTTCTTCAAATTTTTAACTTCTATTTTTTTTTTTAACTTCTTTGATTTAAGTCACGTTTCTGATTTAACTAACAACAAATCTAACCAACGATTTGTCTCAACTTCGTTCTCTACTATTTGTCTTCGTAAAAATCCAAGATTCAAATCGTCTGCGCCAATGTGCAGCGAACGTGTTCAGAAGAGAAAGGAACTGTTATACTCTCGTTTCGTTCGGAATAGGATCGATATTTCGATCTGGCTCTGATTCGCGTCGAGGACTAACGAAAGATCAGAGCGCGAATGGGAATGAGAAATAACGCTCGCGACGAGTCGGACGATCGGAACGGAGGAAAGGGCGCGGCCGAGATCAACTGAAGAAAAAAAAGAAAGTGTTCAAACTCGCCGAGAATTCTTTAATTGAATATCCGTGTTCCCCGGTCCGCTCGACCATTTTTCCATTCCGAAGCTGGCCGATCGTGCGAAACGGAACTCCTCTCACCCGCCGCCATTTGCTACGCGCCTCTTCGACCTCAATCGAGGACTTTTCGAACACATTCCTGGCCGCGATAATTAACCCTTTGCCCTCGGAAACTTTTTTTCATATTATCTATCAGTATCACCTCGAATAAAATGAAGCAACATTATAAAGAGAGAATATAGATAGTATTTAGCATGAAATTTTCGACGTGTGATGTCGTTTAGCTTTAACCCTTTGCACTCCAAACTATTTTTCAATTATTTCTCTTCTTTTCTTGGCGATTTAAAAATATCGACAGAAGTTTCTGTGATAAAAGACTGATGCCATGTACAACGCCAAGTGTATATTTACATTCGTTGTAATTATATTATATTATAAAAATTATATTGTATTTATAATATTTATAATTATATTATATTATATTATATAATATTATATTATATTATATTATATTATATTAAATTAAATTATATTATATTTACATTCGTTATAATTATATTATATTATAAAAATTTATAATATAATCATATTGTATTTATAATATTTATAATTATATTATATTACAATAATTTATATTATAATTATTATATTATAAAAATTATAATATAATATACTATACGTTATATTATATTATATTATAAAAATTTAATATAATTATATTCTATTTATAATATTTATAATTATATTATATTATATTTATTATTATATTATAAAATTTATAATATTATTATATTATTATATTATATTTATAGACATAATTTTTTATAATATAATTATATTTATTTACTATTATAAATATAATTTTTTTGTAATATAACTATATTTATAATTATAAAAAATTATAAAAATAATTATAAAATATTATAAATATAATTATATTATTAAAAAAAAAGGGAGAGTCCGAGCTACTAGCTCGGATATAAGTACGATGGCTCGTCAGAAGCGACAATCGAGTGTAAAGGGTTAGGGAACTATCTCCTCGATTTTTTCGACTTTTTCGCGTCTGACCCAATCGACGCGTAATTGATCAAAAGAACTCGCCCCCGAAAGAAACCCTTCGTTAGCCATCGTTTTTCGTTTCAATCAAATTTCTATTTAAACGCCTCGAAATTTTCTCTCTACCCACTTTCGTTTCCTCCAACTGACCCTGGCACGAATCGGTAATTAACGGGAGAAAACCTAGCCTAAACCTTCTTCTGACTAATCGCGCGAAATCTCGAGCTTAATGGGAACGCCAATTTGACGGATACCGGGCACTTCGGCCAGATTATTCGTCGATAATCGAGGCCGTGGCCAGTTAAATGAATCGTTACCTCTGGAAAAGATGGGCGATTCCGAGGTCGTTCCTAAAATGAATCTTGCTTCTATACTGTATACGTGTATACACGTACATACTTCCGCGAAATTAGCGTTTCCGCTCGATGAATTACGACAAGTGATGGCCGGTATATTTATTGGATCGGTGTTGGATTGTTTTTGGCGGGCGAGCGTAATAAATTGTGGGTTCGACGGGCGATCACGAGTGATCGCGGGTCTATCGATCGAGGAAGAAAAATGGGAGGGTACGCGTCGACGTCGTCCTTCCGTAAATTGATTTATCGTCGACACGGAGGATAAGAAAAAAAAAAGAAAGAAAAGAAAAAAAAGGAAAGAAAAGGAAAGGGAAGGAAAGAGCAGCCTGTAGTTGGTAAGTTGGTTCTCCTTCGCGCGATCGCGAACGAAGTAAATCGTTAATTATATAATCTGCTTCACGCACTTGTCGCAATTGGATCCGACGTAATTGGACGTAAGTTTCAACACACGACGAACCGTTTAGTTTAGAACGAGCTCGTGGGTGTTCGAGTCTAATTGACCTTGAAATATCTTGCCTTGCCTCTGCGTGTCTATCATCGTTTGGCTTTAATTTCCGAGATGCTTCAGTTCCCGAAATCAAAACTATCAGCTCGTGTAATAAGTTCATAATGAAATCAATATGAACTTTATGGTTAATTCTTTTTGCAAGTGAATCGAGTGATTTTGAAAGTCACGTTTCTTTTTGCATTGCGTACATTTATATGCATCGTATAAATATGTAATCATTATATGCATTATATATATAAACATATACATTATATACAGGGTGTCGTGTATGAAACTATCCATGCAATTTTCTCTTAAATTATTCGCTATTGGAATAAAAATGTTTCAAATCAAGTTAACTTTGTTACTACACTATCGTCGCTTGAAAGTGAATATACTTCGGCACTATAATGTTAGAGAAAGCAACTATTCAGCTATCAATTGTGCAAAATTCAACAAAAATTCAACTACATATAGGCTACAATTTACATAATGTATAGTTTGTGAGTAAGGTACCTTTTACATTTAGTGAGTTACTCTGTACGTGGATTAACATTCACAAATCTATCTTATCGATCAATTTCCTTTTTCTTGTCTAAATCAGAGCTCTCTAAACTCGCGAGTTTTTGTCGCTTCTTTCTTGATCGCTAGCGCTATCCCCTCCACTGCGTCGATCTCTCCACTGCTAGCGACTAGGAAAGTGAGGGCAAAGACCGCCAGTTCGCCAACTCTATTCAAATTACCAATATAGGCATTTAAGAGGGTATTCTAGTGTGAAATTTAAAAAAAATCGATTTTTTTTTCTTGCATATTCTTAAAGGATATAGTCTCAAAAACACTACATCTCTGGAACCTTACACGTGAACTAAAATTAACGAAGTTATGGGTGTTTGAAGGACGCGACAACCAGTGTCTTGTTACCGCAATACTAAACTTTAAAGGCATTTTTCTGAAAACGATGTTTTTCAGAAACGGTGTCCATGATATCTCGAAATCTACTTGACCAATTGAATCAAAATTTTAAATACGAATTTACAGTCCTAGAATCAACTAAAAGTTTTTATTTTTTATATTTTTTTCAGGTCTGCGAAGTACAACAAAAACACGCAAAAATCGATAATCGAACTTCAAAATATCGTCAATTTTTTAATTACCGACATTTCTCTTTTGTTCTAGTTTCGGCTATAGCCAAATCCATACTAATTAAGAAACTATCACTATTTTTTTATTTTAGACAAACAGAATGGCCGGAATCATGGACACCGTGAGACGACCTTTTTTAAAAGTGACTATGTTTGAGAGTATGCAGTACCACTAATTTTAACTTTCTTTGTTCCAAAAAATTTCAAAACATCGTTGAAACACATGCAAATGATCCTTGTCAATTTGACTGGGAAAGGTATAATAATTTCTTTGCAAAAAATTTCCAAACAAAGTTACAAAAAACGCACTAGAATACCCCCTTAAATCTATTTCAGTTTTGAAATCATCCAAGCATTAAAGACGCGACACAGGATGACAGAAAAAAAAAGTGGACGGAAACTGAAGCCAACGATTTTAGGAAAATAATTACCGAGCTCGATCGATCTCTACCACCCTATAGTTCAGTTTCCCCAGC